TCCACTGTTGTCATCACTCTTTATTAATATCAGGTCTCTCTTGTAAATGACTCCCAGAAGCTCAATGAGATTAACCTGTCTAAATAAAGGTTGAATGAATGAATGATAGGGTTAGGGGGGCTGGTCTTCTTCCTGTAGTCCACCTGCATCCCTTTAGTTTTTCCAATGTTGAGTTGCAGGTGGTTCTGTCCACCACACCTCTGTATTCAGCTTCTTGGTCACCAGTGATGCAGCTCACAAAGACAAGAGTCATCCAAAACTTCTGCAGATGCAGGATTGTGAGTTGGACCTGAAGTCCAAGGTGTAGAGGGGGAACAGAAATGGTGAGAGGACCGTCCCCTGAGGAGCCCCTGTGCTGCTCAGTATGGTGTCCAAGATGGTGTTTTGCAGCCTCACATACTGTGGTCGAACTGTGAGGTAGTCTCTGATCCAGGTGAACAGCGAGTCATTCACCTGCATGTCCAGGAGCTTACTGGAGAGTAGATCAGGTCTGATGGTGTTAAAAGCACTGGAAAAGGTCAAAGAACATGACTCTTACAGTGCTGCCTGCCCTGTCTAGGAGCATGTAGGCTCTGTGCAGCAGGCAGATGATGCCATCATCAAGTCCAATGTGTGGATGTTATGCAAAATGTAGGGGGTCCAGGTATGGTTCCACCACTGATCTGACGTGCTTCAGGATCAGCCTCTCCAGCGACTTCATGGCATGTGATGTCAAGGCCACAGGTCTGTAGTCACTGTGTGAGTTTGGGTGCTATTTTTTGTCACTGGGACCAGGCATGTTGTTTTCCACAGAGCAGAAACCATCCTCATGCTCAAGCTCAGGTGAAAAATGTGCCGAAAAACATCACACAGCTGAGCCACACATCCTTTCAGAAGTTTGGGGCTCAATCCATCTGGACCTGCAGACTTGCTTGGATACAGACGGCTGCGCTCGATGGTGTGTGTGTGGGTGTGGGTGGGGATTACACATGGTTTGTACAGTCATCTCCAAGGTTCTAGAGGAGTCCCCAGAAATGAGCCAGCCTCCTTTATGAGCTTGCTGATCTTTTTGAAGTCACTTGCTCTGGTGCTGCTACCCCAGCAGATGATTGCAGAAGAGATAGCACTCTCTACAACAGACTTATAGAAGATATACAGCATCTTACTGCAAACACTGAAGGACTTCAGCTTCCTCAAGAAGTACAGTCTGCTCTGGATCTTCTTGTAGACGGCTTCACTGTTGCATCTCCAGTCCAGTCTGTTGTCCAGGTGAACCCCAAGGTATTTATACTTCTCCACCACCTCCACTTCTTCTCCCACGATGGAAATAGGGTTGGACCTGTTCCTGTTTCTCCTGAAATCTACAATCATCTCCTTTGTTTTGTTCACATTCAAGATGAGATTGTTTCCACTCCATGCCACAAAGCTGTTTGTCCATCTCTGATACACCTGACCACTGCAGAGTCATCTGAATATTTCTGCAGATGACAGGAGTCTGTTTTGTACTGAAAATCTGAGGTGTCCAGAGTGAAAAGGAATGGTGAGAGTACAGTACCCTGTGGTGCTACTGAGCTAATGACCACCTGGTTAGACACACAACCCTTCAGTCTCACAAATCGTGGTCTGTTTGTCAGGTAGTCTTTGATCCAGGTGATTGCTGAGGCCTCCACCTGAGTCTTCTGGAATTTCTGACAAAGCAAATCAGGCTGGCTTGTGTTAAATGCACTGGAAAAATCAAAGAACATGACTCTCACAGTGCTGTCTGCCTTTTCTAGATGACAGTGAGTTTTATGAAGCAGGTGTATGATGGCATCTTCAACTCCAAGTCCACGCCGATAAGCAAACTGCAGTCCTGATATGAGCTTGTTTGTTTAGTCAGGTGGACCAACAGGAGTCTCTGTAGGACCTTCATGATGTGTGATGTCAGGGCAACAGGTCTATAGTCATTGAAGACTGATGGGTGAGTTTTCTTTGGTACTGGAACAATGCAGGAGGTTTTCTACAACACTGGAACCTTCTCCTGGATCAGGCTAAAGCCCCCAGTATATACTGCCGTGTATGTCTGTTCACACGTACGTACGCGTGTACTGTACGCAGAGGGTTCAGATTTCAGACTCCAGTGTACACCCTGCTTCACAGACAAGAGGCGTTTACCTTTGGGACAAATTGAGGTCGCCGATTGGTCATTTGCTGACACGCCTATTGATTTGATTGACAGGTCGGGGGAATAAAACGAGCGCTGGCAGCCTCAGTGGTGTTTTGTGTTTATATGTTGTTAATAAAAATATCTAAAAAAAACAAAAAAAACGGGGCGCTAGCTCTGTAGCCCACACATCAGACCAGCCCACCAGGAAATCTCCAGACCCTCCCGCAGCCACGCTGGACCCGAGTTTAATTCGCTTGTGACAAATTCCTTCATTTCTCACCATTTCAGTCATGGCATCAACGGAGGAGGAAGAGATCACTTGCCTCTTGGCAAAAAAAACAAAAGAATAGGCCAGATCAGAGATGAAGAAGGGGAATTGAATACATTGGTGTCGCATACAAAACAGTCCGTCACCGGGCAGTTTATTGTGTGACACCGCGTACGTGTATGCGGTCGTAAAAATTGAGCTTTGCACGGACATGCCCTGGAGGGTACGCTCGTACCTCTGCGTACGTACGTGCGTACCTCTGCCTTTGGACGTACGCGGGAGTATACTGGGGGCTTAAGGTTGAAGAGGTGCTGCAGAATCTCACAGAGCTGCTCTGCACAGACCTTCAGGACTCTGAGACTGACACCATCTGGACCTGCAGCCTTATTCCGGTTCAGTCTCTCCAGCTGCTTCCTCACCTGACTTCTAGAGACGTGGGGGAGAGGCAAAGGAGGTATCAACATCTTCTGATTTGGTTGAAGACCAACGTGTAGAAAAAGAAGGGTCCATGACTGAGGTGGTAGATAAAATATTTGAGGTGTGACAGGACAGCCTTTGGTCAAAAGAAAGTGGTATGTATGTTTGGCTGTGGGCAAGAGAGGAGGACACTGAGCTTGTTCCTGAACTGAACCTATTGAAGAACGTGTTCAGTTCATTGGCAATTAGCATACCTAAACCAAACCGATAGGGTTCACAGAACAAAGCAAATGGAAAGCCGAAGCGGGAGGGAAAAGCGTCTGCCTTCGGAAGTTCTTCTTTCCTCATGCATTTTTTAACTGTTCAATATGAAACGATGTTACAAATACACTAGACAAGAACGTCAATAAAAACAGAAAAGAAATGCTGCTACAGGAATATGGGTGTTTATAATTTATAATATTTCCTAACAGAGCACTTCGCTCTCAGACTGCAGGTTTACTTGTGGTTCCTAGAATTTACAAAAACAGAATGGGAGGCAGATCCTTCAGTTATCAGGCTCCTCTCTTGTGGAACCAATTTCCAATCTCTGTCCGTGAGGCTGACACATTATCCAGTTTTAAAACTAGGCTCAAGACTTTCCTTTTCGCTAAATCCTATAGTTAGGGTCGGCTTGGGTTTCCTGAGCTGTCCCTTAGTTATGCTGCTATAGGCTTAAACTGCTGGAGGACCAACTGACCACAATTTTCACTCTACTACTGTCTTTACTTACTCTGCTCAACCTATTTTGTATTTGTAATTATTTTTTCTATCCTTAACATGTGTTTTATTGTCTTTCAGATACACTTGGACCTATACCTGGACCTACCATTCTATGTTAGTCTGTCTCTCCTTCCTGTCCTCTCAACCAGCCGGTCAAAGCAGATGGCCGCTTATCCTGAGCCTGGTTCTGCTGGAGGTTTCTTCCTTTTAAAAGAGAGTTTTTCCTTTCCACTTTTGCCACTGTGCTTGCTCAGGATGGGAGACTGCAACGAAGCCAAGATTCAACTTGTCTGCTGGATTCCTTAGATAGAGAACTTTACTAATTGGCTTTTATGTATGTGAATGTTCCTGTAAAGTGCCCTGAGACAACTTTGTTGTGATTTGGCGCTATATAAATAAACTGAATTGAATTATAAAGGGAGCGAGTACAGATAAAGATGTAATCAGAAACCAGAGTACTGAGCAGTAATAAAGTACAACTTCTGAAAATTTGAGCCGTTTTGTTTCCTGGTTTGATTGTACCTCTTCAGTTTTTGCACATCTGGACAGTTTTCTGGCAGAATCCTGATGCCTTTGCCAAACGACGTTCCCCCGTGAAGATGAAAAGCCAGGTGATCCATCTTTGCCGGTTGTCTGCTGGTCAGGCCCGGTACTTTGTTGGACCCTGGGATTGCATGCAAGTTGTAGATCCTCAGGAAATCACCAGGCTAATGGCACAAAATAATAATAATAAATTTTATTTCAGGGCGTCTTTCAAAAACCCAAGGTCACCTTACAAAAACAATTAAAATCAGCAATTAATAAAAACAGAATCAACAAATAATTAAAAATAAGTCACAATAAAACAACACTTAAAACAAAGTTAAAGAGAATATGCCTGTTTAAACAGATGTGTTTTTAGTTGTGATTTAAAAGAGGGAAGAGAGTCTGTGTTCCTGATGACAGGAGGGAGGGAGTTGCAGAGCTGAGGAGCACAGCGACTGAAGGCTCTGTTCCCCATGGTGATGAGACGGGCAGAAGGAACAATGAAATGAGTGGCAGATGAGGATCTGAGGGAACGTGAAGCAGTGGAGATGTGAAGCAGATCACACAGGTAAGGAGGGGCAAGGTTATGGATGCACTTGAACGTGAGAGTTAAAATTTTTTAATTTATTCTAGCTTCTATGGGCAACCAGTGAAGCTGCTGCAGAACCGGGGTGATGTGTTCTCTGAATGGGGTACAAGTTATGACCCGAGCTGCAGCGTTCTGGAGGAGTTTGAGTTTATGCAGAGTCTTATTCGGGAGACCAAAAAGAAGAGAGTTGCAATAATAAATCCTGGAGGTGATAAGGCTATGGACAAGGATGGCAGCAGCGTGAGGAGTAAAAAAGGGACGAAGTCGGTTGATGTTACGTAAATGGAAGTATGCAGACCGGGTGATAGAGTTAATATGAGATTGAAATGAAAGTGTATTATCAAGTATGACACCCAGACTCTTTACCTGAGGGGAAGGAAGAACATGGGAGTTGTCAATATTGATGGAAAAACTTTGCGATTTGGTTAAAGTGGAGACTGTGCCAACAAGTAAAACTTCTGTTTTCTTACTGTTGAGTTTAAGAAAATTTGAGGAAAACCATAATCTAATTTCCATAAGACAGTCCGATAGGGAGGAAGGTGGAAGAGATGAATTGGGTTTTGAAGAAATGTAGAGCTGGGTGTCATCTGCGTAACAGTGAAAATTGACATTATGTTTCCGGAATATGTGACCAAGAGTCAAGTCAAGTCAACTTTATTTATAGAGCACATTTAAAACAGAACCTGTTATCAAAGTGCTTAACACCAACCAACACACCAAGCAACCAACACACCAAGCAACCAACACACCAAGCAACCAACACACCAAGCAACCAACACACCAAGCAACCAACACACCAAGCAACCAACACACACACACACCAACCAACCAACCAACCAACCAACCAACCAACCAACCCCCACACC